GTGTGGATTAACCAGCAGATTTGCCCCCATGTGATAACGTCCCTAGAACTCTTGCATTTGCTGTGTTCTCATTCCCTTGGTAACTTTGCCTGCATCTTTTCTTTGGATGCCAAAACGCTATTTCTAAATGCTGGGCAGACATTGTATGTTACTGTAATACTAGAAATGTGGGGAATGAAGGAAAATTTCATAGGAAGGACTCTTGTTTGGAGTGGGGGGGGGAATGCTCTTATTCCCCCTTCCTGTAACTACACCCCAATTTACAAGGTTCTGGAAGATTTTTAAGTATAATGTTCCTTGTTCTTCAATACTTATGGAACAGATCATAGCAGACCTTTTTCTTATCAATACCTTTTAGGACCACCACCACATCACAAATGATAATGCACCCTTGGGTGAGATTTTCCCCTTTATTGGTTGCTCAATCATGTCTTGATTCATTGGAACCAGAGGAAGAACCAATAAAACCAAAAGACCAATAGAAAGAGTCTCCCTCGCCCATGCATATTAACAAGAAAACTTCTAATAATCCCCCCCAAAAATTGTTTTTGTAATTGCCCAGTCGGGATGCTGCTCTCTCAAAGCAGTTTAGTTCCTTATTATGTAGTGATAGCTCGGCCTTGGTGGTGTTTAAATAATCATCCAATGGTTTTGATTAAGAGCACAGAAACTGACACATATGAAGCTGCCTTATCCTGAGCCAGACTGTGTTTGTCTCGCCCAGAAAGTGGTGGCGGCTCTCCAAGAGCTCAGGCAGATGTCTCTTCCCTGGCCATTCCACATATTATCATTCAGGTTGAGGAAAGGGTGATAAGGCTGCAGTCTTCAGTATGCAAAGCAATGTGTCTTCTCGTGATAATATGGAAGTGCCAGCACATATTCATTCATCTTTTCCAGTACCCCAATCTTCACTCTCAGAACGCACATAACTCAGATTGCCATATCACTCTGGTAAACAGTCTTGGACAATATACAAAAGGGAACCAGAACATTTACTCTCAGGGCAAATCTAAAGCTCATTTTTAAAGTTAGAGCCCCCAAGTGCACATTAAGTCCAACTGAGGAGTAATAACAACTGTTGTCCAGCACAAATTCATCCCATAACGTAAATTACCAATGTTTGACATCGTTGTTCTGTGCCTTCAAGTCATTTCCAACTCATGGTGACCCTCAGGTCAACCTATTATATGTCTACTTGGCAAGTTTCTTCAGAGGGGGTTTGCCATTGCCATCCTCTGAGGCTGAGAGATTGTGACTTGCCCAAGGACAGCCAGTTCATTTACATGGCCGAGCAGAGATTCAAACTCTGGTCTCAAAAGTCATGATCCAACACTCAAACCGCTATGCCACACTGTCAAGTGCGGGGGAGAGATACATGATTTTTTAGAAATCCAAATCCTGACAGAGGATTCTATGCCAGTACAACACCAAAGAAGACACAAAATTATTCTGTCTCACCATCAGCTGGGGATTGTGTGGTTTTGGATAAGGAGGGGGACTTGAATCAGGAAGTAGGGCATGAGAGCTTTAGTGGAAGAATAATCCAAGCCACTCAGGCTAATGTGTTAAATAAAGGAATGAATTTATGAAATAAATTAATAAAATAGCCAAATATTGAATTCTAATTTTCACATTGCCCAATTCAGAAAAGACTCATTTTTGACTGGCTGCACAAAAGGCTTCTCTGCCTTCTCGGGATGAGTTTGGCGAGCTTGAGTTGGCAATTTCTGTATCTGCAGCATTCTACCTCTGAGACTTGGATAACTGCAGGGTGCATGTCAAAGAATCAAGGCTTCCGTGCATCCCACGTAATCAGCATGTTAATGAAGAGCAGGGAAATGGTTCCCTCCTTGAAGCTATTGGGCTTATCGGGAATTTGTGCCACTCACACAGTTTTCTTCCTCTGCATTATCGTAAAGGAAGAGTTGGTGCTGTGAAGGAGCCCCAAGGAGGCTGAAGCATCTGCCGTGATCCTCAGGAGGGGATGATAAAGCCTGGCAAAGGAGACAGGTGGACATTCCTCTCTGTACACTGTGTAATTGCGGTGCCAGGAAATGGGACACTTGGCTGTGATGGGAATGTGAAATGGCACAACTCCCACATTGCCCAGAGAGGGAAATAACCTTGAGGAGTTCTCCGATCCTTTCAAATTAGTCCCTAATTCCACTTGGCTACCTCAGCTTTCCCAACTCATTGCCTTCCTGATGTGTGTTTTAGACTACAGCATCTATAATTCAAGGGCTATCTGTGGGATTATGGGTGGTACAGTCAAACATACGGAAAAGCAAGGGGTTGAGGAAGAATGGGGAACATCTTCCAGAAAGCAAACATCCAATGAATAACATTCCCAAAAAAATGGGATCAGGAAACCAAATTTATCTACAAGCTTTAAACTTAAGCAGAGCAGCCACCACCTTCTTTTTAGGGAAGAAAACAAGTCTGGTTTAAAGCCCTTCAGGGTTTGTCTCATCTCAGATTTGGCAGTTTGAACTCTGAGATCATCCATCTGAGACCACACTGAAAATCTTGTCATTGCATTTCAAGGCTTGGAAGATTCAGGCCATCGTTTGAGGAAAACACAGAGGAAACAGGCACCTATATCTCCAAACAAATTGTTTAAACTGAAGAAGAAAACAAAAATGAAGATGAATTTAAAATGTATATGCAAACTTGCCTGAGTAGTAAACATTGGCCAGGCATGGCAAGAGAGACAAGGGTTGTATCTACACTGCAAAATTAATGCAGTTTGACACCGCTTTAACTGCCGTGACTCAATGCTATGGAATGCTGGGATTTGTAGTGTGTTAAAGCACCAGAGTCCTCTGACAGAGATGGCTAAGTAGCTCACAAAACTACAAATCCAAGAATTCCATAGCATTGGGCCATGGCAATTAAAGTGATATCAAACTGTAGTAATTCTGCAGTGTAGATGCAGACAAGGAAGAGATGCAGACAAGGAAGAGAGCTGCAAGCTCTCTTACGAGTTGGAGTCCAGAAACCATAGAAAGAAGAGTAGCTGCTTCTGCCTTGTCATTGCAAGATATGTTGTGGATGTAGATCACAGTGAGTAACCCAAGGTCCCTCAGATGTTGCTGGACTACAACTCCTATTATCTTTCACCATTGGCCGTACCAGCTAGGGGTGCATCTAAACTGTAGAAATAATGAAGTTTGACACCATTTTAAGCGCTATAGTTCCACCCTATGGAATCGATTTGTAGTTTTATAAGATTTTTATCCTTTGCCAAAGAGTGATGGTGCCTCACAAAACTACAAATCCTAGGATTCTGTGGGATGGAGCAATGGTAGTTAAAGTGGTGTCAAACTGCATTATTTCTACAGTGTAGATGCACCCTAGGTCTGAAAGGAGTTTCAATTTAACAACACCTGAAAGGCCACAAATTGCCACTCCAGATCTAATTTGATTGGCATCTCTTGCAGTCAGAGGCTCATTGCCTCACAAATTTGAACAAACTGTCACTGCAGGATGGAGCTGAACCATGATGAAGATGTAGGAGTGAAGCCACTCAACACTCCCATCATCTGTCCCAGGCTGTTGAATGCCTGTCTGCTGGACATACCAATTGCAAAGACTCTTAAAGTCCAATGAATCAAAGAAACACTGGAGTGGAGGAATTGACTTTGCAATAATTGGACCTGAAACTTCTTCCTGACTGGGTTATTTAGAATGTGGTTTTCTCAAGCAAGCTTGCTCTCTTTCAAATAACAAAACAAAACTTTCTTATGATTATGGTTAGGATTCCATCATGTACAGAAAAAATGAAATCATATATCTTAATTCCACTTTGCCATGGGTCATCTGATGTATCGTATATTTTTGCCCTTCCTGAGGGCAAGTGTCACCAGCTCAATGGGAAAATTTCTGTGACACTTTACAAGTGTTTATTATTTATCTATTCTTCTCATTTCAGTGGAGGGAGCAACTTGGATGGCTGGCTTCCCTTGTAGGAGTCAACAGTTTTTATATTATTAATTTTGTACCTTAGAAAAAGCAGGTGGTTTGATGCCTCTCACTTTGGCAGGTGGCAGTGATAATAGTTTCATCTTTTACATCTGGTTCTAAGCAGTTGCCCAAAACATCTCTCAGTAGACCTTCCATGACATGCTTAGTGAGAATTCATGACAATATTGATTAGGCCAAGGTTCCCCAATCATTTGAGGCTTTGTGCCACATCTGGCATTTTTTTTTAAACAAATGTGGGCACAGGTCACAAAACTGTTGCAATCTGGACAGGGGGTGGTTAGACACAAAATATTGGGAGCAGCCTTAACTGCTGTTTAGTAGATTTTCCATGTGTGTTTCCATGTGTGATCAGTCTCTCGCTCTTAGGGGCTTTGCAGATGGTGCAAAGCACAGTCTTTGAGCCAAGGAAGGGGAGGGGCAGCTGGATACTGCTGCCCCTCCCCTTGGCAAGCACTCCGATGACGTCCTTCCATTGCAACGTCCGGACATGCTGCGATGGAAGAGATACGGAAGAGGCATGTGCTGCCTCTTCTGCCGCCCTTTCTGCAGCTTGAGGAAGGAGTGCTATTTTAGTGCTCCTTACAGGGCCTCCCAAAGAGTGGGTTGGGGTCGAGGAGTGGGGCAGCCTCCATCTGTAGAGGCCCTCATTCACACACCCAGGTGGAGGAGATAAAAGTCACAGATAGAAGGCAACAACAGATAGAGAAGAAAAAGAAGGAGAAATGTAAACATGGAGTGAGTCCATTTCTTCTCAAAGCAGTGGAGTCCCCACCCCTAGTGAAGAGAATTAAGCATCAAAGTGAATGTGTGGAAAATCTGCAGCATTTCACATAAAACACTTATGTGTAAACTAGCCCTAAGTCAAAGTGAATCCAAGTGATTTTATCTGCAAAATGGTGGGCAAGTTCTTTGCAGCATGTCCTTGAGAGGCTTACATTCTCCTCTGGATCCCTGACCATCTTCCTTTCAAAAAGCACATTTGAAGCTTGGGGAGGTTGTGTACTCATTCTTTTGCTACCAACCCTCATTGACATATTTGGGTATTGAAGCCATGGCCTTTTCAAAATCTTTGCCCTTCCTGGCTAATTAAACAGACTAGAGGTGACCTTGCTGACTGGGTAAGGAAACAATGCCTCTTTACAACAAGGCATGGTCCCAACCAGCCTGAAAGAGGGCTGTGGGAAGACCTCTTTTCAAAAAACTTTCCCTGGATCCTACTGTACTAGATAACTATCAGCTTCTACAGAATGGCCAAAGGGCCAGCCTGGAGGCAAAGATGGGGAGAGGCAGCCACACACCGTGCAGTGTCAGGATGTCCTTCCAGTGCAGCGTTTTGACATGTTGCATCGGAAGGGGTTCTAAAGAGCTGCACACCAGCTTGTAGGGTGGCCTTTTGCTGCCCGTAAAAGGAATGGCATTTTGCCATTCTTTTCTAGGCAGCAAAAGGGAGGATCAGGGCACACAGTGCAGCAGACTCAGCCCCGATCCGCCACTTTCCAGGGCAGCTCTCCGCCGCCCCTTTGGGCCCATCTACAGATTGTCCCCCCCTTCCATTGGGGGACAAGGTACTGGAGCATGTGGTGGCTTCTCAAATCCAAGGATTTTTGGGTGAGATGGATTATCCAGATCCATTTCAGTCTGGTTTCAGACCTCATTATGGGAGAGAAAAGGTTTTGATAGCTTTAATGGATGACCTAGGCAGGGAACTTGTTAGGAAGGATCTAATTAGGGGAATTTATAATTAGCTCAAATATGCAAAAGTGGGGTCCTAACAAAGCTCTGAAGGACCGGGGACTGATATGTATACCAGAGGACTAAGGAATCCCACAATGGATGACGCTGAGGCAAACTTCTTCAATTAAAGTCTAAATATTTATTAAAAGGGGAAAACTGCACACACACAAATATGACACACACACACACTGCACACTTAGGAATAAAGCAGTGAAAGTGGGAATAGTTTGAAATGGGCCTGACTGAGGGAGTTACTCACTTCTGAAGGCTTCTCCAGGGTCTGCTGTGGGTGTTGATGTTAATGATTATGAGGATGCACAACCACCAAAATGGGGGAAGGGATGGTCGAGGGAACTATGATCAGAGCACAGATCGACGTGGAGTCAGCATGCACTCCAAAGATAGCACATGGAGCCTAAAAATCTCAGGGTTTAAATAGGAAATTTCTACCTTCTGGCTATTGACTAAATGGCTTGACAGAAGCCTAGACAAAGGCATTGATTGTCTTAGCTTTGTTAAACCTAGGTGTCAGACCTGTCTAAACAATGCATTTGGTTTCAATTCAATCAAGGAAGGAAGGCTGGAGAAAGAGGGTGCAGTTAAATCTGATCACTGCCCCCATCAAGAGTGAGACTTTG